TCGAGCCGAGCCGGGAGCCTCTCGGTGCGGCGCGGGCGCTGCCCTGGGGTCCCCGCCGCCGCGCGCCCTTCCCGGACCCTGCCGCTGGAACCCTGGGAGGGCGTTTACGGTTAGGTCCGACAGCTCAGAAATAAGAAATGAGAGCCCTGTTTGCGGGCTGCCGGGTCAGGAAACCGAGACCTCGGCCTCCCCCGCCGCGCGCTCGGGGCCCTCGTCCCCGCAGGACCGCGCCGCGCCCGAGCCGAGCCGCCGCGGCAGTGCCCCGGGTCTCCAGCAGGGGCCGCCGAGGGCCCGTTCGCTTTGAGTTGGAGCCTCTTCCGGGCAGAGCGCGGCAGACCTTCCCGCCCACCTTGGATCCTGTGGTGGGTGGCCGGTCTTTTGCTCTTATTTTGTGGATCTTTAAAACCCCCCCCCCCCCCCCGGATAACTCATCAGCAACGAAAGCCTCTCACATCCCCCCGGGTCCGCGTGCTGGATCTGTGACGCCCCTCAGCCAGACTGCGGCCTCTCGTGCGTTACTTGCTGGCTCAACAAGCCTGGGCCTGGACTCCAAGGGAGGAAGTGATAACATGCTGAACCACAGAGCGAGCGGGAGCAAAGCCTAGTGTGTCTAAATAGGTATTCAGTATATGAACGAAACAAGACTGAGGAGCCGGTGTGGGGCACAGGTCTGTAATCCCAGCACTCTGGGAGGCTGAGGCAGGAGGATCAAAAACTCAAATCCAGACTGGGCTACTCGGCACCTTAGCAAGACCCTGTCTCAAAATTTTTAAAAGGGGGTTGAGGATGTAGCCGAGTGTGAAGGCCCTGGATTTAAACCCCAGTTAAAAAATAAAAGACAAGTTTGCTAGCCAGGTGCAGAGACTTCTAACCCCGTCGACAGGAATGCAGCTCACTGAGGAGGCCGGTGAGCTCTGAAGGAGACAAGTCTCTCAGTAATGCTGCCGGTTTTCAAGCAGCTGGAGGCTCTGTTGTCCCCATGGATGGAGAAGTACGCGCTGGAGAGTGAGTGGGACAGACAGACGCCATTCCTCACACGCTGTGAGCTACGGAAATGATGCCAAGCAAGGCTTGGAAAGACAAACTGTAAAATTAAAACACAGAGAGAGAGCTCTGCGGTGCTAGCCGGGACCCTGAGTTGTAAGCAAGGGTGCTGACTGCCTCTCCTAAGAAAGCTCAGGCTGTGGACATGAGACCGTTAGAACAAGTGTCACTGATCTCAGGCTCCTCGGACACAGTCCGTCCCCTCTCTGGAGGTTCTGCAGTTGGAGTTGTTCTCACATTGTAATACTTCAGCTGTTAAAGAAGAGCCCTGAGATTACCTTGATTGTGTCTGATTCTCATTTTAGTTTTACAATTTACCACTAAATTTGGTTAATTTAAACCTAGGCTGCCTAATGAGTTCAAAGTCAGCCTGGACTACATAGTGGACCTTGTCCATTAAAAAATTCCCTAAACCAAACATGATAATTTAAATATATGACTTGACTAACGTTTACTTGTAAAGTTTTGCTTCTCTGTGTGTGTTTTACACAAAAAAACGCGTTTTCATCTGGGCATGCTGGCACACGGCTGTGATCCCAGCACATGGGAGGCTGAAGCAGGGGGATCACAGTGAATTCAAGACCAGCCTGAACTACATGGTGAGATTGTCTCAAACCCCACCCCCAAAAAATGAGTTTTCAAAGGAAATATTTAGCTCACTTTTAAGAAAAAGTGATGTACCCCAAATGCCTAAAATATCTTTAGCAGCCATTCCTTATATGCAAACTGTTAATGTTTCATTTATAAATTGTACAAAGGTTTACAATTCTAAATATTCTAAGTAAGACCTCTGCCTGGCCCCGTTTTATGATTATTTGTTCTGATTTACTTCATAGCCTTGAAAGGAAAAAGCTGAATATTTCTTAAAATAGTCCAAGCTTTTCTCTGCTTCAGCTTGACCATTCCTCCAGTTATTTTGATTTGATGAGATTTCACTGTCCTGTGCAAAAATAAGCATCTCAAACGTCAGAATCGACTTAGTGGAGCAAGCCATCTCTCAAACACTCTGGTGCCTCATAGCAGAAAGAGGAGCGAGTGTGTTGAGAACCAGGAGTTTGGTCACCCCACACTGCTTCCTGTTGGAGGTACAGGTGTGTGACGGCCTCACTGTTCCCAGTGTTTACCGAACGCCTCTTGGTAGTGTTTCCAGCTGTTGGTGGATTATTCCCCTGGCCACGCAGGCCCAGGCCAAAACAGTGCTGTCAGATGGCAGGCAGATGTCACCTGCTCACTCTGCCTGGCCCAGAAATGAAAACATCTTCCTTCTGGGTACCAGGTCCCAGAGAGATCCGGGTTTGTGCTGTGCATGGTCCAGAGGCTTTTGTCTTCCTGGGAAGGGCACAGCTGGCGTCTCACATTTTGAGGAACTGAGGGTTTGGAAACAAGAAACTCCAGGATGTTTCCCATCCATAAAGCCATTTATTCTCGGCAGCTTGATGGCTCCAGAGCGCAGTCTCCAGCCTGACTGCTCCCAAGGACACAGCACAGGCAGCAGTTCATCCCGGGGACCTGCACCGGTGGCCTTGCCACTGGCTGTCCTGCAGGCTGCCTCTGATCTCATATAGGTCCTGTGCGAGTTTGGGCTGCCAGTGGGCCCTTCCGCACAGTTTCCTAAGCTGTGCCAGCGGGGGCAGACAGGTGCCCCAAGCCTGGACTAGACCCTTGGTTTCTGTCCTACTGGGTGCAGAGCCACCTCCACATCCCATTCCCAACATTCCCAAGTGCCCAGAGAAGCCCTGGATTCACGCAGACCTGCATTCCAGGAGGGAGAGCCAGTGACAGGACTCCCACTGGCAGGAGGGCAGCATTTCTGTCCCAGGATCTGGAAAGACCAGGCTGTCCTGCGTGGTGCTAACATGCTGCTGTGGGACGAACCAGGCCAGAGACAGCTCAGGGGTGTAAGCCAGGAGAGATCCATGGGAGGCCCCCCGCTGTTTGTGTCTTATGGGGACTCCAGCTTCTTGCTGGGCACTGCCCCTGTCCCCCTCCACCCACCACCTCTGCCACCCCAGAAGGCCACCCAGCCCCTCCTCTAGGGAGCTGCACCCCATCCTGTGTGGTACCAGTGCCACCCACTATTCCAGCCAACATTCTAGCCTCTCCCGGACGCAGCACCCGTGGTCCCCAGGCTGTGTACACTGTGCAAAGTGAGTGAACAGGGCCTCCCTTCCCTCCTGATGGAGGAGGTGTGTGGCAGCCAGAGATCACTGCCTTGCTCATGTGTCTGAGAGTTCTAGGTACATTTGGAAGATATGTCCCCTACATTCACACTCCAAAATTCCCAACAGGAAACTTAATGGAAATGGGCGGTGAATTACCAACAGTGCCACAGATTCCTGGTTAGATTTTACGCTTGTGGCCATCACCAGAGAGGCCACCATGACAGCCACAGGAAGCCAGGATGCAGAACTGGGGCCGTGGGCATGACGCAGCTAGGCATGACTGATGGCTTGAGGGGCCCTCAGAGGCCAGATCTGCACAGATTCCCTGTGGGTCTGCAGAGCCATTTGCATTCTGCCTTTTTCGTGCAGATAGGAAAGTAACACTTCTGGCAATAAGTAACAAGAAGACATACATAGTTCCTGATTCTCAGCAGGGACAGATGGCTGCGGAGAATCTGCTTGTCTCTCATGGGTCGCCAAACCACTGCAGGAGGCGCCCTTCTCAACCCTTCTGCGTGCTCAATGACGGCACCTCCGCTGCACCGAAGCCCATGTACTGTTACATCAGATCCACTTTAAAGCACATTTTTAACCAGGCACGGGGTGCAAGTAAGAAACATAAATGTACAAAATGACTCAGTTTTAAGCCCAAAGGTGGGACCTAGGGTAAACTAGAGATAGTAGGTGCTACAAAAACACCATCAAATTGAAATTGTTCCCAAAAATTTGATAGAAGCTAAACAAAATGACTGTGAATTGCACCCTGGAAGTATGACCATTTTGATCATATCACTTCTGCCTATCCATGAACAGGAGATATCATTCCATTTTCTGATGTCCTCTTCAATACCCTTTTTCAGAGTACTATTGTTTTCATGGTAGAAGTCTTTCATTTCCTTGGTTAGGTTAACTCCTAAGCATTTAATTTTTCTTGATGCTATTGTGAATAATACAGTATTTTTTCCCCTAATTTCTTTTTCAGTTGGTTCATTACTGGTATATAGGAAGCAGTATTTTGCTTTTGGTATCTTGCTGTATTTTGACTTTGGTTAGTA